CTGGGAGTTGAAGTCCACAAGTCTTAAAGTTGCCAAGGTTGGAGACCCCTGCTCTAAGATCCCAGGCCTTTGGGCTCAGGATCAGGTGTCTCTCTTCCCACCTCACCCCCCACTCAACTGCCCCCTTGCCGGGCGTGGGAGCCCTGCACTACTCCAGCCTTTGCTCTTCGCTCTCCACCAAATTCCTCTGAGAAAGGCTTATTAATGAGCTCTCAAATGAGCACCCAACTGGGAAATGTCACAAACAAGAGAGGCTAATGCTCCAGAAAAATCAGATAACGGTAGTCAGTTGATTGGGGGAGGGGGAGCTTTCATATTTACAATAACAATACTACTAATATAGGGCCCCCTTGAAATCAGATATTCTGGAAGGGTCAACACCTCGCCGAATGAAACAGCTCATTTATTTATGTTCAGAAATCTCCAGATGATAAATTATATTGAAGTTAATCACTTCACTGCGTACTGGTGCAATTAATATCTGCACTCACCAGAAGCATTCTGATTAAGAGAAACACGAGGCGCCTACATTGGTTGGCGTCTTCCTTTCTTTGTTAGACATAATTGGGCACTGGGTATTCTCTTGGTATAAACAAACAGCAGAGGTTACAGCGGTTTCCCTGGGTGTATGTTTTCCTAAGCATACAAGCAGGCATTACAAATATCTGGGTTCTATTAATTATGGCTCTCTTCTGCGTTTCTTCTCCTGTGGCTTTGAGGCTCAGCTGCCTCCCCCTCAACATGGCTTCACCCAAGGAGGGGAAACACAGGGGAGACCCCGGCACATCAAACACAGGCAGGAAGGCAGCCCCTCCCTCCCCTTTGCTTCTTTAGCTCAAGACCTCAGTGATGTCTTCATCGGCTTCAAAGCTCCATTTCTGTTTTTAGAAGTGAATTTGCACGCCATCGCCTCCTCCTCAACTGTGAACGTACGCAAGTCAACCAATGCACCTCGAAATGGCCTGTGGGCAAGCCCTACACCGGCAGCTAAAAAACCCCAAAGCAAGATTCTCAAATCATCCTTATCCAGACTAATTGAAAGGGAGGAAGGCATTGGTTTGCAAACATCTTGGCAACCGGAGTGTTGTACTTCAAAAAACAACAACACAAGATTTATCTCTACATTTTTATCGCGGACATTTCTTGATCGTCTTACCAACCTCTCTTTGGGGATCTAGCTTTCAGGTAGCTACCAGGCACAGCTACCTGGTAAAGAACGTGCAGCTCCCCTGCACTTACAATACTTTGCAACTTGCCAACCTTTTCCCCAACTTCTGAAAAGCCCTTTATCTCTACCTTGGATGGACTTCACAGAATGATGGCTTGGGTGGTGAGAAGTGTAAAGTCAGCCGTGCCACAGGAATTTTGCCCCTGGACGTGTTAATGAAATTCTCTGATGGGTGTTAAAGGAAGAATAGAGTTTTGTGGCCCTCAACGTCTAAATCAAGCAAGATATCTAATGCTTAAGCCTAGTTGGTCCTCTGGAGACTCCTGAAGGACAAGGGGAAGGCCAAAACTGTTCCCTCCCTTCTGCTTGTAGAGGAGGAAACCCTCCTGAAGCGCTTCTGGGGTTAGGACAGCAGATCCCCAAATGCCACAGAATCCACACATTGATACTTGGCCTCCTCAGGAAAACATCTTGGTTTAGGAACATCCGAAGCAGGTCAGTTTCAGACCCTCATGGATGGCAACAACATGAAGAGGAGAGTTTGGGGACCATATTTAGTTGTAGCTCTCGCACTCTAATCCTCTTCTTCGACAGACCAAATTTCTCATCCAGAAGTCCTGCATAATGAATTTTTGAATTTGTAAAGCAGTAAGGTTACTTCCAATGAAGCCACTCGTGCCTTGGACCAAACTCTTAGAAATGCTATCGTGTGAAAAGGGCTCTGCCAGATGCAAAGTGTAGTTTCCTGCCTGAAAGATCTCTGCACTTAATTTAAAACCTCCCTTCTCTCCCCTCTTGTGTGTATGAGTTACAAATACCTTTAACAACTTGCACAAAACTTCAAAATATTAACTATGAGGAAGAGGAACCATAACCCTTGCTTGTTGTCCAAAATACCTCTCACTTTGCCGCCTGTTTTGATTACTGTCCTCATCACCCCAGTAGTCCAGCAACTCTTAGCCAGAAGTGGTGGGAGGAGGCAGGAGCCCACCATCCCTATTCATTCAAAGACCTTTATAGCCGCAGGGCAGAAGAGAGACAATGCAGGCTCCATGGAGGAATATTCTTTGGCCCAACAGAGGCTTCCTACATGCCTAGACATGAGCCCAAGACTAGCCTGATCACACTTCTACTAGACATAAGGAGAGATTCCAGTTGTTATATGCCAGAAGCCATCTTACTGGGATTTGTGGCAATGGTGTTTATGCAAATCACAGTTCACCACATTGTAGCTAATCACCCAGGAAACTTCCGGTATTCTTCATTTATGCGTGAAAAGTTGCCTTTTGCTCACTCTCACATCAAACTTTCTGCTATGGCTTTACGTGGATTTCCAGCTAATGTTCTCCTTTTAAGAACTTGTCCAGAATCCTTTAATCAAGGTGAAGGGCTCCCAAACACAAGCCACATCTTCCTTGCAACCATCCTCGAAGACTTTGTTCTCATTTTCACTCTTCCTTCCATTTCTGAGCTAAAGCTAACATGCAGCTGTCTATTCGAGCCTTTGAGCAAACACGAATTAGCTCACAGCCTTGAAAAAAGCTTCACAGATAATTTGAGTCTCACCTACTAATACCTTCCTTTTTATTACAAGCTGCTACCTTCTGACTTCTATCTTCTACTAAGTGAAAAAAAATAACGGGCTGTGACGGTGCATTCATTGGTTCAGGGAAAGAGGGTGGCTGGATCAGCTCACACCGGGGCCAGGCAGGAGAACCGAGACCCAGGACCTTCCCAGGTCTTCCCTTCCACCAGGTCTCTCTCTCCAGCTGCCAGTTGGGGAGCAGAGGTTTGGGTGCAGCCCTGCAGTCCAACGTTAAGACCCTCCTGGATTGGCAGTTTGGGCTCTCCATGCATGGCAACAACAGGCTGGTCACCTAACAGGTATGAGGTGGTAAACAGTGAGCCCAGCTCTAGGCTCTTGACTGCAAATCCCAGACCCCAACAAGCCTCTGAGAATGGGCCGTCATTGAGCCTGGCGCTTCCAAAATGTTATTTTTCTGAGCAGCTGCCAGGGGGTGTAATAATCTGGACTTCAAGCAAAGGACAAGTGGGGTCTGCTTCTCTCTAAGCTGCTGTGGCATCAGGATGCCAAGAGAGAGGCACAATTAGATAGAAGATACGACACCCTTTGGATACCACAGTTTCTCCGCTGACAGAACTAATCTGAGACCTCTTGGACCCCAGAAATGTTCTGATTAGACCCCCGTAAATAAACAAGTGCACGCGGCCATGACACTTTTGCTCATTACTCTCTGAGATGAAACCCCTGGAGTTCTCCTGCACGGTTCTCCCTGGTGCTGGAAGGATGGAGCTCCTGACCGTTTTCCAAGGAAGCTGCACTATGAGTAGTGACACCTGTAATGTAAGTACCTGGGAAAGCTCCTCCGATCAGACCTAGCAAAGGTGCTAATACATTATTAAAGCTAATGGGGCTCTACCAGAAATGCTAATGGACAGAATGTTTGCATAAATGAATTACACATTAGCACAGTGACTAGGCTGCCACAACCTGCCAATTTAGGTAATATCTGATGGGTTTTTTTGTTTTCCCATTATAGGGATGTTCCTTCCCCAACACTTTTGGGTGATATGAAAATTGTAAGCAAAATGCTCATAATGGAACAAGATAATGAAGCAGAAGAAATAAATTAACATGGGGGAGGGTTCTTTGTGTAACGCTACGGTTGAGTTGCAAACACAAAAGGCAGGCATCGCCCTGCTGTAGCCCTGGCTCTGTGATGAGAGTGGCTGGCTGCTTAAGCCACAAATCCTCCCATGCTTCGTATGGCACTGCATCTGAATGGCATTTGGACAGGATGGGGAGCATGCCAACCCCCGGGATGCCGCTCACGGCTGCTACAGTTCTGGGCAATATTTCAAGGCAAGCAGCAAAAGGAGCCACGGTCGGGGCCCAGATCTTTTCTGCCTGAAAGAGGAAGCCACAGCTTAGTGCCAAGCCAGGAATTTAACTTTGTGGAATTACGGAAAGTTACCCTCTAATGACAATATTTATAGGGTATGTGGTTGTGCAGCATTTCAGCACCAAACAATAGTGGCAGCCAAAGATTTGGCATCAAGGGGGAAAGCAGTTGGTTGGAGAAGCTGGACCCCCAAGGAGCCACACCAAGGCTGACGGGGTCTCTGGAAGGGCGACGGCTGATATTTCAACGTAATTTGTTGGTGAACCTGAACTCGCTGCTGCTTGATCTCTGAAGTGGCCCAGAACGGCCAGCTCAAAGGCTGATGGCCACTGTTAAGATGGGGATTGAACTTCAGGAGCTCATTCAACACAGAACTTTAACGGAGCCCAAGGCAAAAACTGTTAACTTGAGATATAATGAGGAACTGAGAAGACACAATGGCCAGAAGACACAGGGCATCACATTCCAACACAACTGGAGGACCTCTACTGCAGGACGACGCCTCTTCAACACGTACTCCAAAGTTTGTTCAGGATTTTGGGGCTTGTGGAAATCCATAACTAAGATGAACCTCTGAATTTACTTAAGCTGACATCCTCCAGATGCTGCTGGACTGAACCTCCCATAGATTCTAGCCAATGTGGACCTATCGCTGGGATTTGCGGAAAGCGTAGTCCCAAATTATCTGGAAGGCACCAGCTCATGAAAGTCAGGTGTCTGCACTAAAATGACAGGCAGATATGTGTGGTTTGTCCAAGGGTGAACAGCAGAACTTTTCCAAAAGAGACATGAAAGAAGCTGCAGGAAAAGCTTTAAGCTAACATTCAATGCTCCAAATATCCAATTTCAGAAAGCCAGACATAAACAGCATAGGCATAGAGTGAAGAGCTTGTGATCTTGGTACTCACACATTACATCAAGGTAGTACTTGGTCTGCAAGTCTTTAATGGCAGGATGGTCTACCTGACAGACAACTGGGACCCCATCATCCTCCCGCTTGACCTTCAGTAAGAGCTGGCTGGTCACCGTGTACATGTCTGACCACTGCTCCACTTCTGTTTTGCCTGCAGGACAGGAGAGACCAGGGAGACAAGAGAGAAGGTCAGCCACCAAGGACCACACGGGATCACCTCACTGCCTGCTGTGCTCCTCTGCAACCTAATTGGATCTCACAACTACCCCGGAGTTGCTCACAGGTTTGCAATTTTGGGGGGGGAAATAATGCCCCTGGGGCATGTGTTCCTTCTGTCTCTGGAGCCCTCAAGCCACAGAACATCTCCTGACCTTCCACATCTTGTGCTGACACCCATTCTGGCACATCCCAAGGATGTAGATGGTCAAAACAGTTGCCTAGGGGTAGACCCGACTCCCATGGAAGCCTTTGGACCACCTGCCTGAGTGGAGACTTGAATGAAGGGAAAAGGCTGGATTCCGAGGTCATGAAGCCCCCCTACCAGCAAAACGAAGCCGTGCTCTTCCTGGCTCCCGGATTCAAAGGGAAGGGGGACCCCACCTTCGCCTCGTGTTATTAAACATAAGATGTACAACCCTCAACCGCCAGGATTAGGATTCCAGGATGTTTTCCAAACACTCAAGTCAACGGAGCCAAAAATCCTCTACCCTCTTCCTCTGATGCCACTGCCAAAAGCCATCATCAATAATTAAGAGGGAAAGTGACTCCATGGATTTACATAATTAAAAGTAGTAATTAAAATATTTAAGCACGGGTACTATTGAAGACCAGAAAAATGTGGTGGCAGCGGGTGGAAACGGAGACATCCCACAGGGCTCCCTGCCAAAAGGAAGGGGAAGGAGAAGGGCAGAACACCAGGAGGGCTGCGATGAAGGGAGGGATGTGGGAAGTGCCACCGATTGCCTTAGAGCTTCCCGGTCTGGAAGGGGCTGTCGCGCCGTCTCAGCAGGCAAAATCAACAGAAAAGTCTACTCAGGAAATTTACACCCCTTGCATTGCAACCATGGGCTGCTACGCTCACTTGGTCAAGATTTAAGGGGGAGACTGGTGAAGGCCACCGGTCTCAGTAGATGTTTTCCTGGAAGTCAGAGCGTGTTTTGCTTGATGGGCACGGGAGCATCTGCTTGGTCCTGGGTGCCACTCTCGTGGTGAAGACCTTGCTTCAGGGGTGAAGTGGCTCTTCTCAACTACAATGCTGGCAGGAAGGGTCAGGGGCCCCACTGAGATAGCCAGGCCTTTGAAGCAAGGCATGGTAATCTTGGCCCATTGGGAAGTCTTCTCTTGACTAAGAAGAATGGGATGGAAGACAATGCGAACAAGTAAAATGTGAGGGAATCAAACTCTGAAGGACCAGGTGATGGCAAGGATTGTACTTCGCTTCCCAGTGCTGGCGGTCCATCTATAAGGAACGACCAATGTGGCCCAGGGCTTCAGCAGGAGGTGGGTCAGATAGCAAGGAATGGGGTGTCCTCTGCCAGGGGTCAAGGGGTCTCTAGTGAAGCCGACAGACACATCAGCACCCTGTCTTTTTTCCTAGGAAGAACTGTGTGCTGGTTCTGGATCGGGTTGTATTAGTGGTTCAAGGACATACTGGGAGAGCCGCCTAAGTTCAGGTTCTGAGCGTGCCCTCAGATACTTTGATTGTTGGCTCTCAGGTAGGAAGCTCATAATATGAGTCAATCCTGAATTCTCTGGAGAAGAGAACCAAGGTGACCAGCAGAAGCCCCACCAGGTCCGGTCTCCACATCTGAGATCAGATCACCTCTCATCCTCATCCTCCCACGGCACCTCTAAATCTACACTATTAAGCTGATGTGGGGAGGAGAGGGTGGATCTACCAAAGAGCTCCTTGCTGCCTTTGAACCATTTGATCATCGTGGCTGGCCGGCTGGCCATGGACGTGCAATTGAGCTCAATCTCCTCTCCTTCCACCGCAGTGTCCTTCTGGGATTCAATCCTCAGGTTACGTGGCGGGACTGGAACGAAAAAGGTCAAAAACACAAAAGGGGACAATCTCAGTGACTTGGAATCCAACAAGGCACCATCAAGAAACCTTACCAGGATTTTTAACACCAAAGCAGCTCTTACCTGCATCTTCAGAGCTCCTTCCTGTTCTCTGACAGCACCAATTCTCCATTCTTACTACCCCCAAGTAATGAATGACATTATATATTCTAGTGGGATGAAGAAGGCTGGCTAAGAAGAGAAATGTGGTCTTCCTCCTAAAAACCCCCAAACCAGAATGAACCCAGAAGTTAATTTTAATTTTGTGTCTGCCTCTATGGATGCAATTAAAAGGGGCAGACAAAAGATTGACCTGGATAACTTTCCTATATTGGATTCACAAAAACAACGTGTTAAAGCTTTGAAGAATTTTCTGAGAAGGGACAAAGAAGAAATGAAAAGAAATCAAATTCTAGGACGTTATTTGAAGAGGCTAAAGATCAAGATTGTTAAAAGTAAAACGAAGGACTTTAAAGTTGGACTTTTTGATCAAAGTTAAAATAGGTATGTTGTTATCTCTGGTAGCCTTAATGGACTTTGCTGATCAGGACTGCAGATGAGGCTTTAAGGACTTGTTTACAGATAAGAGGTGAGATCTGGGGAGCAAGATATCATTTGTTGTATTTTTTTAGAGAAGGTGGTAAATGTTTATACTTGTGATGAAGGGGAAAGTCATTTCTTTATATATTTCGTTTGTTTTTCTTTACTGTATTCTCATTTCTCTTCTGTTTCTTTTCTCCTTTTTGGCACTTCCTACTTTTTGTTCCTTTAATTTTTTTATACTAGTTTTATCTCTTTAATAATAAACCTTAATAGAATGGCTATTAAAAAAACACCAGAACTTCAGAAATGACCCCCCCCACACACACACACCTTGCAAATCGCCAAGAGAGAGCATATATATGCCCAGAGGAGCCGTTATGGCATCGGAAAACAATTTTTTTTGAGGGAGGGTGTTTCTGCATTCTGTGCAGGTTTGTCATATTAGTGACACTCAAAGCTGAAGGGATGAAACAAATCCAGCCGCGTCTTGAACTGAGGATAATCTGAGCCATAACTAGAGAACCGTGAACCAACTAAAACATCTGCAAGAGGCCTCCCAATCCCTTAGAGAAGAGAGAGAGAGAGAGAGAGAGAGAAAGGGGGGGGAATGGGGGGGGACAGAAGAGCTATGCGGTTTCTACTTTTTAATCAGTGATCCTGGCATTAGGAGATGATTGCTGGCATTTAACAAAGCTCTGAAACAAAGATTTAAATTCATGTTGTTGTTGCGAATAAGTGGCCTTTTTGGTTCTGATTTGTTCTGAGAATGTGTTGAGTAATTCAGCTAGGAAAAAACAGGGCGGGGTTGTGGTTTCTCAGCTGAGGAGCAAGGATATACTGAAAAATCATCTGGGGTTTCAAAAAAGCGAAAGAAGAAGAAAAAAAGTTGGTGCCCGACACCTTCCAGGCTGGGCAAGGATGCATCTCTCGTAGCAGCCGGAAGGAAATGGCCATTTCTCCCCAGCTCTCCCAAGAAATGCCAGTGTTATTCATGGGGTGTGTGTGTGTGTGTGTGCGTGTTCAGCATGGAGGTGGGTATCCCAGGAGATGCCTGCACCAAGGCAGGAGGCAATCTTGTTGGGCCCAGGAAGGGAAAGGAGCCCCGGAGGGAAAGTGCAGCCCTTCCCGGGTCTCCAGCCTGAGCAAGGCAGGAAAAGAAAGATGGCCATGAAGCCACACCAGGAAGCAAATCTCAAAGCCGAAGGCAGCCCAATTTGAAATTCACCCCGCAGGCTAATTTTAAACTCTGAACCTCGTGGAATGCAGAGGGAGAGGAGAACCCCGGGAACCAATCAAGGGGAGCAAAATCTCACTTGGAGATTTCTTGCTGCAATTCCAGCTCTCTCATATGACCAGGAGCCTCAGAGGCGGCCATAATCAGAAACTGGGGCTCTGGCGGAATCCGTGATCCAGGACTGACGGATCTTTTGGGAAGGATGCGTAACCAGAGGGCAGCCTGGGAGGAGCCCTTCCCCAACCGGCTTGGTGGCAAAAGTAGGGCTAGGCTGACTTCGCCCACCAGAAAAGAAGGGGGGGGAGGACGGCCTAGGATGGGCAAACGCCTGAAGGTCGACGGGCTCCTTCAGAGAAGACCCGGTGAAATGGCAAAATGGACTCCTCTGCTCAAAGGAAAGAACATCAATGCTTTTGTTTCCACGTGGAAAACACTTCTGAACTTCGTGCTTGATGTGGAAAAGAATGAAACTTTGATTTTGGGTTTCACAGACTGACTGACAGATTTTTGTAAGAAATGACTGATCCATACTATCGTGGTAAAACAGAAAGTTGTGCTCTGTTGTTAATGCCTTATTCTACCGCAGCAGATAAGAGTTGGGAGTCAATGTTTCTTTTTCTTCTCCTACCCTTCCTCGCTCTTCTTCCCCTTTCCGTTCCCCTATCCTCTTATTTGCTTTCGTATTTTATAATACCTTATAATCTAATAAAAATGGTAGAGGCAGGAGAAAGGTTGGCATGCGCCATTCAATGAAGCCAGCTTTCAGGGTGGAGGAGAAAGCATTTGGTCTTCCTTTTCTCTAGATCCTGGCCCTAAATGATACTTCAGTTGCTTCTCCCAGTTTCCACTTTCGTCACACCCATCCTAACCCACAGATAATGGGGACACGGATGCCAGAGTCCGGTGTAAACCGTGAAGATTTATTCCAAAGTTGTGGAATGGGTACAAAGGAAGCCCTGAGCCTGCCCAGCTTTCTCCAACCGGCCTCCGGATGCCTCCCAGAGGAGCTGGAGCTGGAGGTGGGATGCTTACCCAGCACCGTAATGGTCATGTAGTACTCTTGGGGAGGGTCCGTGTAGAGCTGGCAGAAGTATCTTCCCTCATCCGAAATGGAGACGTTGGTCAGGGACACTCTGAGCTCACTGCTAGAGAAATTCACTAACTGAAACCTGCTGTCCTTCAAGGCTGTGGAAGGAAGAGACAAGGGGAATCAGGCCGAGGGAGCACAGAAGAACCCCAGAGCTCAAAGGGTTCTGACTGGCAAAAGCTTCCCCACCTCCTCTCATTTCCTATTGTTCCGCTGCAATTTGGATTGAACCAGCAAGCTTTCCTGCCAATCAAGATAAATAAACAAATGCCCCTTAACAAGTACTTGTAATTACTTCCTCCAGCTTATCCCCCCCCAACCACCCACTCTGCTTGTTTAGCACACAAATGGGTTAGTAAATTGGCTGCCCATAATGGGGTGGGGGTCCTTTGCTGGCTGCCCACCCCCCAGAGACTGCAAGCAAGGGCACAATAGCACCTTCGACTTACATACTGTTCCATGGTGCTTTGTGGCGCCCTCTGAACAGTTTGCACCAGCGGTCCCCAACCTTGGCAACTTTGAGACTTGTGGATTTCAACTCCCAGAATTCTCAGAGTTGAAGTCCACAAGTCTCAAAGTTGCCAAGGTTGGAGACCCCTGGTTTACACAGTCAGCATATTGCCCCCAACAATCTGGGTCCTCATTTTACCAACTTCAAAGGGACAGGAGGCTGAGTCAACCTTCAGAATCAGAATAGAGCTGGAGGAACCTTGGAGGTCTTCTAGTCCATCCCCTTGCTCTAGGAAGAAACCCTCTACTATTTCAGACAGGGGGCTGTCCAGTCTCTTCTTAAAAACCTCCAGTGATTGGGAGCACCCATGATTTCTGGTGGACAGCTGTTCCACTGGTTAAATGTCCTCGCTGATAGGAAGTTTCTCCTTGGTTCTAGGTTGCCTCTCTCCTTGATTGGTTTCCATCCATTGTTTCTTGTCCTGCCTTCTGTTGCCCTTAGTCCTTCTTTTTTTTTTGTAGACGAGCCATAGACCTTACCTTGAGCCGGTTAGGATTGAACTCCAGGCTGTGGGCAGAGTTAGCCTGCCCTACGGCCTTCTAACCACTGTGCCACCCAGAACATGTGGCATCTAAGCAATCAACCGCAGCAAAAGAACAAGGGTGCCGATCGCCCCAGAAGGCTGATCCTGGCAGCCAAAGGGTGAGAGAAACATCCTGGGGCTCCCAAATCTCCCCCTCCCCCCCCAAATATTGAGATCAAAAGGCTGGCCGCTGGCCTCGAACTCACGTCTGAAGTCTCTGAAATAAATAGTTTGCCTGTTGGGATTCAAGAGCTGAATCACGGAGTCGTCACTGTTTTTGACTCTGCAGCTGATGGTGGCCACTTCTCCCTCGACGACTGTCACGTCCTCTGTCACCAAGTTCTGTCCGTCCCCTGAACAGGTGGAAGAGAAAGAAAAGCAGGTGTCAACCTTGGTAGGTTTGGCTTTCTTGCCCAGCCCCTCACAGAGAGCAGGGCTGGCTTAGGGTCTTGGTTGAGCGAGCCGTTCCAGCCGTGGGAGTCCCAAGACTGGGGCTCAGCGCAAGGGAGGGCACAGTCGGAAGATCGTCACCGAGATTCCGGGGAAAGCGGCACGTTAACTGTGAACTGAAGGTTGGCACACAAAGTCCCGTGGCTGACTAAGTTGACGTCCTTGCTCAGGATACTTCATCTTAAGGAAGATTTGTCCCTGATTTGCTGGTTCAGGTGGACAGCACCTGTCCTACCTCTGGGCCGCTAATCCCCCCCGCCCATCTACAATCTCCTCAAGCGAAATCCAGAGAATTAGTGCGGCAAATGAGGCTCTTTGGTTAAGATTTGTCCAAGCTCACGCTGAAGATGGCTGGCAGTACAGGCATAATTATGTAATTATATTCTTAAAAATTTATATTTCACATCACTCCCTGTGCAAAGCCATTTCAAACAAACACCAGCGTGCAATCAATAAAAAACACACCGATTAAGTCCATATTCATTAAAAAAGAGTGGAGGGGAAGGAGGGCAAGGGAGGAAACCAAGAAGAAAACTGTTTAATGTAGATTTTGTGGGGTGGAGGGCTGGGTTAAAAGAGAAATCGAAAACACATCACTGTAACACACACACACAGAGAGAGAGAGAGAGAGACAGAGAGACAGAGACATATTCCATGCAGCACTTACATTCCATGCTGCATGGATCTCTCTCTCTCTCTCTCTCTCTCTCTCTCTCTCTCTCTCTCTCTCT